GTTGAAGCACATAATTTCAAAACCAAAAAATTATAACTTTTAAATACAACAATAATATAAGTTTTGAAGCTTTTTTGCATACTAAATCAATTGCTATTAAGACATCAAATAACCTACAAGAAATAGAAAGTAAAATATTTATTTGACATTCATTACATTTATTTCTTTTGCACTTAAATTATACTTATTATTTTTTTCTACTATTTTAATTAAAGAAAAATAAAAAAGTTTAACAACTTTTAATTCTGATTATCATGCAGAAACTAAAAATGATGCTAACTCTGATAATCTTGTGTTTCAATGCCTAATGACTAACACAAATGTTAGAATAAGTCCTATCTTGGTAAAGAATTACATACAAATTGCTACCATGAATTACTATATAATTTCACTTGTGAATAAAATTGAATGGACCATGCAATTAAAATATCTATTAACAATTTTTTTATCATGTTATATGTAAAGAATATGCACTTAAATTATACTTATTATTTTTTCTACTGTTTTAATTAAAGAAAAATAAAAAAGTTTAACAACTTTTAATTTTGATTATCATGCAGAAAATAAAAATGATGCTAACTTTGATAATTTTGTGTGTCAATGCCTGATGACTAACACAAATGTTGGAATAAGTCCTACCTTGGTAAAGAATTACATACAAATTACTACCATGAATTACTATATAATTTCACTTGTAAATAAAACTGAATGAATCATGCATTCAAAATATCTATTAACAAATTTTTTTTATCATGTTATATGTAAAGAATATTCTAAATTTTTTTCACAAATATATCTCAAATCAACATACTTTAATCACTCTATTGATTTATAAAGAAAACAAATCCTGGACTATCTATTACAATGACTAAAACAAATCACTCATAGGGGGATGAAATAAATTTGTTACTAATAATCATTCGAAAGTTGAAGATTATAGTTTCTTTGGCATGATCAAAACCAACACTTTTGAAGTTATTATTTATCTTGATTATGAATAATCTTTTTCATTATTATGCTATAAACTTTAACTTAAATAATTTGACATGTACTTTTGACTAAGATTTTTCTGTTATTTATGTTGTGGTTTATGTTGATTATAAATATTTTCTCCATGATTATGCTGTAAATCTTATCATTTTGACAATTTTAATCAAACCCATGACATAGCACTGGCATCTACTCTAGTTTCTCATAATTGAAAAAACCATTTAATTTTGCATAACTTTTTCTTTTTTGAAAATTAGTGATTCAGTCTATAAGAATGATTCACATAATGTAAGAGGCAAAAAATTAAGAAACTTAGCTATTTTTTAATGTTTTGTATGATATTACTTGTCAGTTTTTTGGAACATAGTAACTTATAACCAACTTATACTTTTCCTTTAATTATCATGGCATGCTTAATCTTGAATGAATGTTACTTAATTACCTTGAGTGAACACATGAATGGAGATTATTTGTGTATATAAAAAAAAAATACATAGTTACACTGATGTTTGCTAAATTTGGGAAGTATAAATTTGAATTTAGCTTGTTTTTAACTATAGCTATTATATTGAATCTTCATTACAAGCTATATTTGTGGATTCAAAAATCTGACATCTTATAGCTGGCTCTCATTTAAGCTTCTTCAACTTAAGAAAAAAAAGGTTACAAAGTTGAGATTCAGAAGCAAAATTAGCATATGGTCTCAAACATCTCAAAAAAGCCTTGGTTAGGTCTAATGTTGTTTTTTTTTAAATACCTTTGAAGAATTCCCTTATATATACGTCCAAGTTGTTCACTACTTTCTATAGTATGTGGATTGAAAATGAAGTCCTACATAAGGCTTTGTTTGTTTCATGAAAAATGACTTCTGAAAAATAATTTTCGTATTTTCAAGTGTTTGCTTGATAAAAAATTGGTTATGCAACGAAAAATGACTTATTAATTAACGAAAAATAAGGTCATTTTTTTTAAAATTGTCTTATTGATTTAAAAAGAGGAAGACATTTTTCAAAAAAGAATTGTTTATTATTAGAACTATTTATCAATATTTTTAAGTATAATTTTACTTATAAATAATATTATATTAACAAATAATTGATTAATAAATAATATATTAATCTATTAATAAATATTATTAATAAATAATATTGTAATATATTAAAATAATATAGAATAATAAATAATTTATTTTAAGTATTTTTTATATTAATATAATATTTTAATATTAAATATTATTATTAAAATATAATTATTTTTAAATATTAATAATTTTAATAATAAATAATTTCAATATACTTTAATAGTTATATTAATATTATTTGAGAAAAACAAAATTTCAAAAATTAACTAAATAGTAGAAAATATTTTTTAATAATTCATTTAAATAACAAAAAATCTTTTTTGATTAAAAAATATAAATATTTTTTAAAATTATTTTTCATGAAATAAACGAAACTTAAATATTAAAAAAAAATTACTAGGCAGTAAGACAAAGAATACAGAGACTCTTGTCAAGTTCCAAGGAATAGCAGTTCAAGTACAAAAGATTTTGTTTAATTAAAATTTATAAATTAATTTAACTGATTTATATATATATTTTTAAAATTATATTTAATAATTTTAAATTTTAAACTTTAATACTTGTTACTGTTTTTTTGTAAAAAAAAAGAAAAAAAACTTCATGATATACATTTTATGCTCGTGGACGGCACACTCCTCTTTGCAAAACCATCCAATGCTACAAGTGACGTATTTTTTTCAGTTTCAATCAAGCCCTCGCCCACGTCTCTGTCTTATGCCCACCACGCGATTCTCCCATTCTTTTCCTATTTTTGTTTTTGTTTTTTTTTTTCCCAATACGTGCTTCTAATTTTCCAAACTTGAAAATTTTTATTTATATTTTTTTTATAAAAATTAATTTTCAAATTTAAAAATCGTTATTTCTTTTATGGACTATTTTGTCGTATATTAGATAAAATTTGTTATGAGAATCTTTTATTTAATGTTGGATATTAGATAAAATTTATTGTATATTAAAGAATTAGTAATTATCTTTAACACATTTAAATAAAAACATTGTGAAGGGGTTTTGAGTTAATTATTTTATATACTTTGACGGAAAATGAGCAAGTTAAGTGATCTACCAAAAAAATTTGTTTAAAATAAAATATGTGTTTTTAAGACAAATTATTTTATTTGTTAAATTTTTTATTTTTATAAATGAAATTAACAAAATAATACATATTTTTTAAAATATATTTAAAAAATAAACATGTGTTAATTTTTTTAATTTTATTTGTAAAATTAAAAAATAATACTGATGTTGTATCAAATACTCACTTAATTTTTAATTAATGTATGCATCTAATTAAAATTAAAAAAATCTAATTATTTTTGCTAACCTTAAATCCTATAATATACAAAATATTTATTTCATTAAAAAGATTGATTAAGAGAAATGGTAAAACTTATCCATCACCCATATATATAAAACACTCAATTTTAGAAAATATAAGATATACACTTATGTGATAGTAATATTTTTTTAATTTTTTTAATTTATTATATTGACCTCACTAAAATCACATAAAACCCCCCCAAAAAAAAAGTTAAATTAGTAACACTTTCACCAATTTTTATAATGAGAATGAATAATTTTTTAACTTTCAAAAAATATCTTAAAGTCTTCATATATATATATATTTACAATTACGAGTATCTAATAAGCATATTTTATTAAAACTCATAATACGACATACTTATAAAAGAAATTAAGCCATTTTTTTTTGGAGTAATACATTTTATATACTATCACGAAATTAGTCTTTAGTTTTTATTTATTAAAAATATTATTTACTCTTGTATCTAGCTAAATCTTTTATCTTTAGCTTAAAAAAGAATAAAGAACAAAAAATAAAATTTTTTATTCGAAAAAACTTGTAACTCAATTTAATTCATAAAATTTATAAATGATTATATTATAGGTATGACAAAATATTTCATTGTTATTGTATTAATTTTATTAAAAAATAATATACTCTAAATCTTTATAAAATTTTGGAATTGATGTATAGATTTTGCTCTTGTATAAAAATATCGTGTTTACATGAAATGATATATTAATATAACATCATTGAAATTTTTTTTTTTAATTACGCTACTATCTTGAATAAGTTATGAGAAGCATTAATATTGTAATTATAGATATATCCAAATATTTGGTTAAGTGACTTCTATATGTATCACTTATTAAAAAAAATAAGATTTAAATTTTTTAAAATAAAAAATAGTATAATTATAAATAACAAATTCAAAAAAGTTTATTGTACTTTTTTTAATGGAATGAATTTTATTGAAATGTGTTACGTTTGCATGAATTTCATATATTCTAATATCCTGAAATTTTATAATAAAATCTATAATTAACGTGATAAAGAATTAAATAATAACTTACTATTGGATAGGTAGACTCATAAAAAATAATCCTTCTAATAAATGAAATTCATACTTTTTTTGTCAGAAAAATTCGTAGACATTTAGGAAATATATTAAATTGCATTAATTTTTTTTTTCAGTCTCGGGCAAATAGGGAGCAAAATGGCACACAGCAAAAAGGAGGAGGACAAAAGTGAAAAAAGAAAAGGGTACGTGTCTAGCCCACGTGTCTTAGTTCAATGCACCATTGGTCAGTTGCTAGCCACGCGCCTCCCTGTGTACTCTTTTCTTCCGCCACACACTCTCTCTCCCATAAAACACTGCTTTCATCGTTTAGCCAATAAAAGTTTTCCTATTAAAATCCTTAATTATAAAAAATTAGAAAATTTCCTTTCTTGTAGTTCTATCTCTTGCTTGTTCTTCGAAGGTTGGTTCGCAACATTGTCTTCTCAGACAGTTATGTCTTTCTTGGTTTCTAACTCAGTTATGTCTTTTTTGGGTCTCTAACAACTTAATCTTGAAGTGAGTTTTGTTTGGTTTTTTCTTTTTTTTCTTTGTTGGCCTTGTTTTTGATCTGGGTTCTTTTTATTTATTTATTGAGATGGATGATTTTGTGATTTTAAAGTTGTCTTTTTTATTGATAAGAAAATTGTAGACTTTGTCTGAAGCTTATCTGTTTGCTTGATCAAATTTTTTCTGAGGTTTGTATTTTTTTAGGGTTAAATCAACTTGACTATGGATGAAATAAATTGGGCTGCAAATGAAATGTTATTTAGTGGTAGTTTTTATTTTCTGAGAAACAATTTTTTGCAAAAGAGAAAAAGAAAAAAAATTTCTTTGATTCCTGTTAAAAATTTTAACTTTTTGATATGACTACTATTCGAAGTCAACTTGCTTGATTGCAAAATAATACCCAATTTCTGTAGTGCAATTTCATTTTAACTTTCTAATTTGTGTCTGATTTATTGATTTGGTTTTATAAATCATGAATGAAGGGATGAGGAACTTATGAGATTTTGAGTTGTAATTATCTTGGTGTTTTCAGGGAATTTTGGTGGTGTTCAAACTTATTGATAAAACATGGGTTCTGAGACACCAGCCCCATTGGTTGAGAAAACAAATGCTGCAGTGGAGACAGCTGTTGGCAGGTCAGTCATTGAACATCTTAGGAGCTTTAGTTACATCTCTTCTGTAATTGCTGGTTTGTGTCTGAATTTATCTCATGGCTTGAAACCATATGTTTCAATGTTGTGAGCCCTAAGTCCTTAGGATCACATGGTTAGTCAAATACAAAATGGGAGGGAAGATGTATAACTGATTGTGGTTTGTGGGTTGAAAATTATGGAGCAAAGTAATCCGTCTGTTCCTGACATGATTTTCCTTTCGTTGTCTGAGGTTATCAGTCTTTATTTATACATTTTAGTTTCAAACCTTTTGGATGCTTTTTAGTTGTATAATTTGCTGCTTGTCTATGCACCATTGTTTGATGTCTGGGATGCGTCAAATGAGCTCACCTTGGATGATTGTTCTGCATAAGAACATATATTACTTGGAATGACATTGGATTTTCTTGGTTTTCATAGTTTATAAGTTTTAGCTGAATGTTGATTTAAGCATATTCGGAAGCATCTGGTTCTGGTTGCAATGAAAATATGCATGTGTAGTGCTTAATTTGTTGAAGAAAGCAGCGAGTTTTGCTTGTCTGAAAACTGTTTTTGATTCAGGTCTTGTGCTCCGAAGACCAAGGTTCCCAAAAGAATTCACAAGGCTGAGAAGGAGAAGCTCAAGCGCGAGCATTTGAATGAGCTCTTTCTTGACCTGGCGAATGCTCTTGGTAACTTAATTTAAGGCCCTATTAAGATTTATTAGAACTTTTTTTCAATGCTATCATAGAAATGGTTCTTATTAATAATTGGCATAGGTCTTGATTCGTAAAATCAGTTGTTTTTGAGTTCAGAGATTATGCTATATCTAACTTAAGGAAATTTCTTGTGCAGATCCGAATCAGCAGAATATTGGGAAGGCCTCTATTCTGTGTGAAACAACTCGACTATTAAAGGACTTGTTCAGTCAAATTGAGTCCCTCAAAAAGGAGAATGCTTCTTTGCTATCCGAATCTCACTATGTAAGACTCCTAAACTTGTATTTGATAATTTTGCTGAATGTAGAAAAACGGTTCTCCAATTTATTGATGCATGCTTTTATTCCACTGTGTTGTCATCCGAAATGTGGACAGGTGAACGTTGAGACAGCTGAACTGAAGGAGGAGAATTCCACCCTGGAAACTCAAATTCAGAAGCTGCAAAGTGAGATAGGGACAAGGGAGGTCCAATCTAAACCTGACCTGAATGAACCACCACCTGACTTTCAGCAAACAGAATTGTCAACCCATTTTCATGGAGATCATCCTGGTTTGCCCGCTGTAGAACCTTGTCTGCAACAAGCATCTGCTCTCCTTGTTGTTCCCATTCGTCCCGAAATCCAGGCTTATCCTGTACCTGATTCCACACAATCTGCCACGAAGCCTAACTCTATTGTCAGCAAACCACATGCTCGGTATCCCACCCTGGCAGATTCATGGCCATCTCAACTTCTTGGGGAGCAGTCAGCAATTAGGAATGAGTGTCAACTTAATGATAGAAACCCATCCAACTTGTAAATTTTACTGCAAAATTTTGAACCTTTGCTTTGGGTTAAATCAGGATGACCACCCATTTGAAGATGCAATTGTTATAAAAAGTTATGCCAGTGGCAGTTTTGAAAGCCAAATGATGTTGTAGTGCGGTGTGATTTTGGTCGAATAGTCGCTTGAGTACGAGGTTTCATTTCACCAGCGTAGCAGTTTCTTTATTTTTTTTTTCATTTTTTTCTTTCGAGTTGGCCAACATTTAACTTTTAAAATAATTTGTTTAATTTAATATTAATTTTTTTTATTATATAATAAGTTTATTAATAAAAATTTTGTTATTAATATAAAACTAATAAATAATTTTAATTATGTATTAACAAAACTATTATTTGATTTAAAAACAATTTAATAATTTAATAAGTTTATAAATATTATTGCAAATAATTTAAAATTTTTATTTCATATAATTTTTATCAATATTCTTAATTTTTTTTGTATAATTCACACAATTACTATTATTTTTATATCTAAACATATATCACACTATTAATGTTAATCTTATAGTAATTAATCTTATTTCACCATTGTTTTTATTTTCAACAAAATTAATTTGATAATCTATTCAAACGAAGAAACATATTATCTATAATTTTTTTTATTATAATACTATAATTATTTAACATAATGCTTAAATTATGACTCATTAATTATTATATAAAAATTCATTATTTATAAATATAAATTAGATAAAATTTTAATGATTTCATATAATTTTAAGTTATAATTGATTAATTATTTAACAGTAATGATAAGCGAAATGTTTTTTTAAATGTGTTCTGTTTAAAATGACGTTATCTACGTGACAATTCTGTGAAGAAACATATTATCTTTAATTTTTTTTATTATAATACTATAATTATTTAACATAATACTTAAATTATGACTCATTAATTATTATATAAAAATTCATTATTTATAAATATAAATTAGATAAAATTTTAATGATTTCATATAATTTTAAGTTATAATTGATTAATTATTTAACAGTAATGATAAGCGAAATGTTTTTTTAAATGTGTTCTGTTTAAAATGACGTTATCTACGTGACAATTCTGTGATTTCAATGAAAGAAAGTCCCTTCCTAGAATTTTCCCTGGGATGGTTGGTTGCACCAAACTAACCTGATGTCCCCTAATAAAGAAAAAAAAAACCTCGCAGCTTTAAAAGTTAGGAACACCCTCAGCCGTCCGTTTTATTCACTGTGAACTATACTCCGTTAGATTACACCGCCAATCAACGCGAAGCAGAGAATAATTATCTGGACAGCTGGTTTTTGGCATCTTCAGCTTTCTTACACGAAAACTCAAGCAGTAACACTCTTATCACTTAAAAAACAGACCAACAAGAACAAAAACAAACCCAAACCATACCCTTGTTTAGTTTTGAGGTCAAAGGTTTGAGAAAGAAACAGTACAAAGAACAAAGAACAAAGAAAAGGGCATTCGAGATCAGAGATGGGATCTGGGGCTGGAAGTTTTCTTAAGGTCCTTCTTAAGAACTTTGATGTTCTTGCTGGGTAATTCATCTTTGCTTTTCTTTTCTTCCATCAACTTCACTCTTTTTTTTTTAACTTTTTTTTTTTGCTTTAACAATGAATAAATTAAATAATAAGTAAATAAACATAAAAGTTTGACTAAGTCATTGTATCTTGTTTCCTTTGGCGTATGTATTTTTTTCCTGCTTTAAGAATATAAAAGGAAAATTATAAATTTGAACAATGAACTATTAGAAAACAGCTTTCTAGGCTTATTGTTTACTTTTAATTTCAAGGCAAAGTTAAAATATTTTTTTAACTAATTAATCTGGCACATCCAAGTTTTCATTTTTTTTTCTGAATTTTTAATATTTATTTGCTAATTTGGTTTTTTGGGTTGATTTTGCAGGCCAGTTATTAGTCTTCTGTATCCTCTGTAAGTGATTTTCAATTTTCTGGGTTTCATTTGCTTTTTTTTTTTTTATTGATGTAGTTCGGAAGTTGTCTAAATTTGAGATTTACTTGGATTGATTTAATTGTTTTGTGGTGTTGAATTCTTAAGCAGCTATGCCTCCGTTAGGGCAATTGAGTCTGAGTCTCGTGCCGATGACAGACAATGGCTTACATATTGGGTTCTCTATTCCATGATTACGTTGCTGGAGCTCACCTTTGCCACAGTCATTGAATGGTATTTTTTTTTTTTCTCTTTAATGTTCCAGTTAGTATTGCTTGTAGATAGAAAATATCTGGCTCTAAGATTATCCCTAACTTTTTTTCCTGTAATCTGACATAACTTTTTCCATTTGTTTGGGGGTGTATCATTTGATTAAATATTAATTGTTTTAATTGGCCAACTGGTACGACAAATCTGCAAATATATAAGCCGAATAAGTAGTGAAAGTGAACTTTCGGTCGAAATGTCGATCTCATAGAGATTACGTAGAAATTCTTAAGCTAAGTACCGGTTATCACTCTGCTCTTGCTAAAATTGGTTCAATCAAAGAATATCCATGAAAATTTAACAAGTATAAAAATTAAAAAAAAAAAAAACTAATATGCAAAATAACAAAAATCATTTAAAACCAAATCTATCAAAATTAAAATTTTACTAAAAAAAATGCAAGTAATCAACTAAAACTAACTAAGAAAACAAGACATGGAAAACAATGAATCATATGCAATTGAAAAAGTATAGCTAATCCTAAAATACAAGAACAAGTAATAACAAAAATAAAATGCATGATTGAAAGTCAAACATGAAATGCATGTATAAGAGTGATGTAAAATTGAAAGAACAGAAAGTAATATCTATAGCTAGAAGCAACACCTAAGATGAACCTGACCAAATTGCTATAAATTACACATGTAATCAAAGCTAAGCATGCAAGGCTTCCTAAACTTGAATTGGATTTCAAACAACCATTGAATATCCTATGTGAACACATGATCTAAAGAACAATGAATGAACAGAACGTAAAGAAAAGTCAACCAAACAGAAACTTCAAACCAGAAACTGCAATAAACAAACAGCTGGAAACTAATTTTAGATTTCACGGTTCGGACTTCTACTTTGCACAAATGAAACTACACCTAATTTGGAATTTGAATGAAAAAGTGAAGGTCTACATGAAGATGAGATTTATAACAGAAAACTTGAAGAAAAATAAAGCAAACATTGAACAGAACATGAAACCAAATCTGACGTAAACTGTTAGTGCATGAAATTGTAGAAAAAAAATTCAACCTATATTTGTATAATGGAAATGAACTTCATGTGAGCTAAAACGATATAGATATATGAATAAACTTCCTAAGTCAACAAGAAAATAGCATGAATCAATCAAATATTCAGCTCAATGAATTCAAATTCCAAATAAGTGGAGAATATGGAAAAACAGAACATATTCAACAAAAATTTACCAAACAGCACTTTAAAACATGAAATAAATTGTACAAAATGAAACTAAGTAACTAATAGAGCTAAAGATCTAAAGAAGAAAAGAAGTCAAACAAATCGCCAAAGATGAGAGAAGATCCACGCCAAAGTCAATTTTCACGTCTGGCTTGCACTGTCGCCTGCATCGATGTGTGACTTCCAACTTTGATCTAGATTGATGTGCTGTGAATTTGAAGCTGGATTTCAACTACGTTGTAGCTCTATGGATTATGAAACTATGAAAAAAAAGAAACTTGAACAAAAAATGCAAGATTTGATAGAGTTCTGATCCAAAAACCGCAGATAGGTTAGAAAAAACTGCTTTAAACATCAATGAGAAATCAAGTAAAATGAGATGAAAAATGAATGTAAATATAAACTCTATTAAAAAATTTTGAAAGAGCACTCAAAAACACTTAAAGAACTGTAAATTTGCAACAAGATTCAATGTAAAAATGTTGGAAAAAGAGTGTTTGGCTACTAAGAAAATGTAAAGAACAGAATGAAAATGCTGGAAAGTAAAGAAAGAAAATTTTAAATCCTAAACTAACTCTCCTCAAATGGCAGGCACTCACCCCCTATTTATAGGCAGAGGGGAGGAGCCTAAGGCCCTAAAAATTTTCAAAAAATTCTCCATTTAGCTGGGCGCTTCTAGAGCCTTCCTCTTGATCCTGCACTCATGACTGGTACATGACTAGTGCTTGGCAACTTCTTCAACAGATTTGCAATCTTCTTTCACATGTAATTGTTGATCTACAAAGTCAATATAATAGCCAATTACAGCCTCTTAGAATTCCACATCAGCTCCTTTCTTTGGTACTCTTGATCCCAGCTTGTAATGCCAATTTCATGATCACTCAACCATGCATGTCCATCACCCATGTAGCATCGTATTCTTCTTGCATAGTTCATAATTTTTTTTTTGCAAAAATTTCAAACACTTTATGAACATTTTTATCCTACAAAAAACTATGAAATTAATAATAAAAAATTATGCAAGAAAAGTCAATAAAGCTCCCTCTATGTCAATGTGACCTATTGATACTAGTTTAGGCCATTTGCACAATTAGCACCAAAAATTCCTCCAAATTTGTATTGAAAATGTCTAAAATTCCTCTATTTCATTATTTGTACCTACGCATGAGATAAACATGCATTTAAGAGTAATTTTGCCTAAAATCCTAAGGTACAAGCTAAGATATAAATCAAATTGCATTAAAAATGAGCATGAAAAAGCTAAAATTCAAATGCAATCACCAACTCAAGAAAAAGTGGTTATTGAGCTTATACATTTGGCAGTTTAGGCAACCAAACGTGTTGTATTCTACAAATTGCTTCTCATCTATTGGAAGAGGAACTTGTTGTTTAATGTTGCTGTTAATGCTTAGCAAAGGTTTCAACTGGCTTTGTAATAACAAACTGATTCCATAGAAAAAGTGGAAACATTGAGAAATTGAATCAGACTTGGTTTCATTGAAGTTTCTTTTAAATATTTCACTTAATCTTTTTCCTGGTTTAGTTTTTTGATAGTTCTGCAAAAACTTGCCATACCTTTATTGCTTTGATGAAGGGCTGTCTAATTTATACATAAATATAGCAGTTCCATGCTTTAATTGTGTTTGTGTTCGGGACTCTAAAGAGCATGGAACCTAACCATTTTACAAAGAAACCTGTATACTAAGGCCTTCTTATGATTTCTATGCACAGATATAAAAACTTCTATACTTTGCTAAAGTTTTTTAAAACTCTACTGCAGGATTCCTATCTGGTCCTATGCAAAACTGATTTTCACCTGCTGGCTAGTTATCCCATACTTCAGTGGTGCTGCCTACGTTTATGAGCATTATTTGAGACCTTTCATTATCAACCCACAACAGACAATTAACATCTGGTATATTCCGAGAAAGAAGGACTTCTTCAGTAAGCCAGATGATATTTTAACTGCTGCCGAGAGATACATGGAAGAGAATGGAACTGAAGCATTTGAGAAGCTCATTCATAGGGTATGCCATTAACCATGATTGGTTCTCTTTCATTTACTTGCTTGTGAGAGCTGCACAAGGAAGTTTGATATGATAGTATCCTTATTTTCAGATAGGTCAACCATTCTTTTTTGTTAATTAAAAGTGATAATGAAGCAGGCAATTAACTAATAGTAGCTTTTGAAATTTTGACCATTGTTTAAGCCTTTTCAAAATCTCATCTCGTTTAATGCATCATTCCTCCCTTGTTTGCAGGCTGACAACTCTAGGAGTAGCGGTTTCATATATGATGATGACGGCTACAGGCATTAATCCTTATGGCCCATTAGCTCTAGTGTATTTTGCTGTTAAGAGAAGTCACCTGTGTCAGTATCATCCCAAAGAGACTTTTTTTCTTGTGAAGAACTCTGAATGCTTGTGTAATGTTATGTAATTATGTTAGGCTGATCTTTTGATCTTGCTCAAAACGTTCTTATGGTAGATACTCTTTGGGGATTTGCCACTGAATCTTGGCATATTTTTTCATGTGGCAGTAGGATTATTATTAAAGTTAAAGCATGATAATGTGCTCAGTTTCCAAAGTTGGACAAAGGATCAAAAGTAAATTGATTAATGGAATGGGGCCTTGAAAACAATAACAGGCTAAATCAAAATGGGAAAGTGATGTCATTGAAATTGGTGAGATATATTTTAGCTGATTAACTTTGCATTACTAGACATGATATAAGATGACGTTTAAAGGTTATAAATTTTAAAAAAAATTATGTATAATTTTTGAGATATATTTTAGTTAATTAATTTTTGAATTAATTAATGTGTTATTAAAATTAATGTTTGAAAGTTATAAATTTAAAAAACAAATTATCATTTTCAGTTTGGATTATTGATTATTTCCAGGTAAGGCCATTCCAACCATTGAAAGGGCTTTACACTCAATTGCCCCCGTTCCAGTACCCACTTTCATTTATTGATAAGCTCTTGAGTCTCTTACTCTATGTTTTATACAATGGAAAAAAAAAAAAAAGAAGAAAGGAATGCAAATAATAAAAAAAAAAAAAAGGAAAGTGGAAGGAATAAAAAATATAAATGTTCTAAAAATAAAGGCAAAAATGCATTTCGCAGCAGAGGAACTTCAATTCATAATCATCCAACACATTTGATTTTGAGAGGAGACAAATGCTGCATTGTTGCTTTAAGGGTACATTGAGAGTTCACATTGTCTAGCATTGATAATCTGTACAAGAACTAAGCTTGCTTTGCTTGAGGAGGAGCCACAGGTGCCTTCACTTTCAAGACCTCCTTTCATTTGTCAAAGCTCAATTGTCATTTTCCCCTTTTGTTTCACCAGAATCAGCAGATTGGCTAATATACTCCTGAGATTCTTCAAGTACAGGTATTTTCTTTACCGCCACTGCCATATGCAATTTTTTTTTTTCAATAAGCTTGTAATCAGAAAAATGGTATTCAAAAAGTACTTTGATCAATGCAGTACAAAATCACTTTTTTTTTTTAATTTTTAATATGATAATTAAATTATAAATCTAAAAATTAATATGATATATTTTTTAATATGATTAATTTTAAAAAATGATTTATAATTATTAAATAATTTTTTTAATATTATGTCAATAATATAATAAATCCCGGATTTGGTTGGAATCATTTCTTTAGGATTTTTCTTTTTAAGAATTTAACTTTTTATTATTCAATCTTTTAGTTTGGTTGAAAACAATTTTTCTGCATAAGGAATCTAACATTTCTAACAATATCAAAAAGAAAAAAGTAGAAAAATTAAAAGCTCTCCTCTCTTTTAAGGTTTTTTTAGATTTAAAAAAGAAAGTAAAATTTTTTACCTATTTGGCCTCAATTACATTTTTAGACTAATAAATAATTTTATTTATTTTTAAAATATAGTAATTTTATATGTTGTTTTTTTATTTAATATTCATAATTCAATAGAGGTAGGGTTTTTAAGATAAAATGTAGTTTTTGTTGAAGATATGAAAAAAATTATTTTTTGAAATTATTTTTGTTATATTTTCAACATTAAAAAATATAATTTTTGTTGAAAATATGAAAAAATATTTTTTAGAATTTAATGAATAAGACGTTTTTAAGATAAAAAATATGATCTTTATTAAAAATATGCCAAATAATAATTTTTCATAATTCATAAATTTCAAAGAAAATGATATTTTTAATATAAAAAACGTGATCTTTATTGAAAATATAAAAAATTTTATATTATAATAAAAATTTATTATTACATGTAAAATTTATTATTACATATATTATATGTGCCATAAAATATAAAATACTTTTACTTAGATAATTCAAAAAATATTAAATGAACAATTTACATGTTAAATAAATAAAAATTTAAATAAATCAATTTTTTACTCACATTTTATTAACGTATCAAGTGTTATAAGTGTAATGTATTATTCACGTATTATTAAGAACAATATAATAAAAAATTTTATTGAATAATTTTATTTTTTAATCAAATATAAAAATCTTACATTCTTTAAAGTCAAAAAAATCTAAAAATCATACATTTTCGTTTCATATCACTTTTTTTTTTTTATAGAATCATTCTCGTTTTTGGAATTTGAGACTCCAAAATCACTTTCCCTCGCTTTTAACCCTATCCTAAATTTAAAAAAAAAAAAACTCGATTTTGAATTTTTAAAAATTGCACCAATTAGATTGAGGTGAACAACAACTCATTAGATATAGATTATTTTATCACCTTTACTATTATTTACTTTTTTATTATAAAAAATTTAATTAAAAATTTAAAATAAAAACAAAAATTAAAAAAAATAATCAAAACAAAATAAGAAATAAAAAAGATGGGGTCCAGACGCCACCTTTTCCTTCCTCCAAAATCTGCAAAATTTATTGTATGAATACGAGGAAGTTAGTCAAAGTGATAATAGTGTGGCAAGTGAATGTAATGATAAAGTTAAATTTTTTGGTAAGTTTACGTGTGGAGGAAAGAAATATGGATAAAAAAAAGGATAAATTCATGAGTGTAGGGTGGACCAAAGAGCAAATCATGCAACGAAATGAAATTTTAAAAAATTACAAAATGGCATGGCGTAATATAAATATTTATTATTTTGTATCATAGTAAAAGAAATCAGTTAAAAAGTTTTTAATGTAAAAATAATTTTTCTTTCATATTATAATAAAAATAATTAATTAAAAGAGAATTTGAATATTACAAATTAATAAAAAAAGTACAATTAATTCACGATTACAAATGGATAAAAGTTCAACATTTTATATTTATTAACAAACATAAGAGAAAAATATTAAAATAAAAAACTATCAAGTATAAATTTTAAATATACATATTAACCTTAATTTTTTATGGTTATTAGCATTCATATATTCATATAACCCTAAATCTATAAAATTGAATAAATAATAAAATATATATTAATATATATTTGAGCAAAAAACACTATAAATTTGCATCCGATCTTATTCAAATTTTCGAATAAAATCTCAATCATGATTTCAATTTTGAATGTCAAGTTGATGCATCTATTAATATATATTTCTTACAAAATTCAAAAAAGGAAAAGAATGAAAAATATTTTTAATCAAAAATACAAATGGGTTTCACAAAAAAATCATAAATATAAAAAATTTATTAAATATAGAAAAAATAACAAACTAATCCTTATATTCTATAAGTTTGGAGTAGACTATATTAAAGGCTAAAAAAAGAATTATGTTAAGTTACAATTTTAAATTTTCTTATGCTACTCATTTATATTAATAACAACTTTTTCATCTACTTTCCCAACTCTCATTTTATTTCTTATTATTTGTATTCACATCTTTCATTGTTTACCTCTAAAAGTTTTGGTATCTTCTAAATTTAAAAACTTATTTCTCCTAACCAGTGCACAATTAGGTTTACATTTCGTATATCCAAACTATTTAAAACAACCCTCTCTCATATTTTTCTTAATTTGGACTACCCTTTATATTTTTTGAATCTCATAATTTTTGATTTTATCTTTTCTAATTTTACTATACATCTATCCAAGTATCCTTATCTTAGTTATGCTCTTTTTTTCTCATATTGTTTCTTAACGGTTCAACACTCAATTTCATATAACAATGTAAGTCTTATAGTTGTTTTATATAATTTCACTTTTAACTTTAAAAGCATGTTGTAAACACATAACATATCCTACGTACTTTATTACCTCACCCATCTTGCTTAAATCTTATGATTTACATCTCTTTCTATTTTAACATTGCTATGAATAAAATCACTAAATATAAAAAATGACTACTCTTTGATACTATCTCACCATCCAACTTAATCACACTAACAATCACTTCGCTATGACTACTAAATTTATATTCCATATATTCAATTTAAAAATTTATTCAATTTAAAACATCGAGTCTAATGTATACCTGCATAATTCTAATTTTACATTAAAATCATCACTAATTTCAGTAACTAAGACTATATCATTAGTAAATAATATATACCATGGTACATTATCTTGGATATATCTAGTGAGCTCATCTATAACTAATGCAAAAAAAAAAAAAAGATTTAGTGTTGAGCCTTAACGCAATCTTAAAGTAATGAGAAAGCTATCAATTATGCCTTAAATATGACTAAATATAGAAAAAAATAAAGAAAAAAAAAGGAAAACAAAGGAAAAATTAAAAAGAAAGTTATTATAACATTTTAAGTCCAAAAACTTGCTTTCTGTACACGTCTTAAACACCAAACCTAAATCCTAACAGCTTGTCGCCGTCATTACCACTACCGACCTTTGTGCTTATGCCAAAAATCATTCCTTTTTCGAATCCCTTCAACCTCTTTTTCTCTTTGGTCGAACCAAATTTTCAAGAATCATCCAAATATTTCATCGATCTAAGTCTAAAGATTAAGATTGCCACCACCTATTCTACCGTCGATTTCACCGTCCGAACATAAACAACAACCACTTAAATCTTCACCTCCATCTTTTTAGTCTAGAGATTGAACAAAAAACTTAAAAGTCAACAAAACTTGAAACCACAGAAAAACTCATCTTCAAATACTCAAAAAAGCAATCCCAAATCAAACTAAATCCAAGACTTAAAATTTTGATTTTGGTTTTTATTGATGGTGTTCTTTGCCTGTGTTGATTATTTTCATTTTGTAGTTTATAGGGTTGATTGTACTAAGTTGCTAATTGTTGATGCCTGATGCCTTGATGCTGGGTTTCTTTTGCTTTGTGTTGAAGTTTCAATTTATGGGTTTTGTTTGCTAGGTGTAGGTTTGGTCCTCTGTTTTTTGGGTTGTGGCTCTCTGGGTTATTGCTTGGCTAATGGTTATTAAAGTTGTATATGTTGACTACCTCCCAATTACTACTCTGCTATCAATTGAGGCCTTTGACTATCATATGATTTACCTTTGTCTGCTCTTTTGCTTTTCTTTGATTGTTGTGTTACTTATCAAAAGATGATGCAAATTTAATAGGTCTTCAGTCAATGAAAACCGAATCTGTAGATAGATTTGATTTCAAGTTTTCTAAATTTCCGTTGGCTTGATTCTCAAAATTTAATTCTTGTTCAAAGATCTTATTCTAAAAAATATTCCTTTACTTTTTTTTATTGTTTTTGATTTTTTTATCAAAAATAAATAAAATAAAATAAATAAAATACATATATAAAATAATACAAAAAAAATTAATGCTAAGCCTTGATTAAAATAATGGAAAAGCTATCAAATCGTGACTAAATATAGAAAAAAAAGTAAAGGAAAAAGGAAAAAAGGAAAACTAAAGAAAAAATATAAAGAAAGTTATTATAACGTTTAAGTCCAAGAACATGCCTTTTATGTGCGTGCCTTAAACACCAAACCTAAATCCTGATAGCTTACCGTTGTTACTACCACTACCAACCTCCGTGCTTATGCTTTAAATCTTTCCATTTTCGAATCCTTTCAACCCTTTCTTTTTTTGGTCGAACTAGATTTTCAAGAATCATCCAAATACTTCATCAATCTAAGTCTAAAGATTGGGATTGCCACCATCTATTTTACAGTCGATTTCACCTTCCGAGCATAAGCAACAACCATTCAAATCTTCACCTCCATCTTTTTAGTCTAAAGATTGAACAAAAACCCTAGAAGTCAACCAAACTCGAAACCATAGAAAAACTCATCTTCAAAAGCTCAAAAAAGCAATCCTAAACCAAACTAAATCCAAGAATTAAAATTTTGATTTTGCTTTTGGATGTTTCTGCTGATGGTGTTCTTTGTCTATGTTTATTGTTTTCGTTTTGTAATTTGTTGGGTTGATTGTATTGAGTTGCTAATTATTAATGCCTGCTGCCTTGATGCTGGGTTTCTTTTGCTTTATGCTAGAGTTTCAATTTATGGGTTTTGTTTGCTAGGTATGGGTTTGGTTCTCCGTTTTTTAGGTTATGGCTCTCTAGTTTATTGCTTGGCCAATGGTTATTGAAGCTGTATATGTCGACTACCTCCCAATTACTACTCTGTTGTCGATTGAGGCCTTCGACTATTGTGTGATTTACCCTTGTCTGCTCCTTTGCTCTATTTGATTGTTGTGTTACTTATCAAAAGATGATGCAAAATTTTATAGGTCTTTAGTCAATGGGAATCGAATTTGTAGACAGATTTGATTCCAAGTTTTTTAAATTTCCACTGGCTTGATTTTCAAAATTTAATTCTTGTTCAAAGATCCCATTCTAAAAAATATTCCTTTACTTTTTAATTGTTTCTAACTTTTTTTTATCAAAAATTAATATAAAATAAAATAAAAGGAACGAAATAAAATACATATATAAAATAAATAAAATTTTTAGGCCTATTTATTTAGATTTAAAAGTCAATGACAAAATTAAAATGAGAATATCAAATTAAAATTTAGACTCAATAATAGTAAAAAGATATCCAATAAAAATGAGGTATTTACAAAAGCCAAATGACAACACATGGTAAATCCTTGAGTAATTGTACATATGCATCATTTATCCATTAAATGTGCAAAATTTAAAGTATAGATGGATTAAATATTGGGATGAAAAAGTAATTATTTTATTATTAATTTAAAAAATTACTTTTTTACTAATAATTTTTTAATAGCATTAACTAATAAATAATTTAATTTTAATATCTTATTTTGTAATTTTTTTGGAAGAGGAACTATCTCATCATCAACTTTTATGTTTTGAAAAAAAATTAAAAAAATTAAAAAAGAAGTTGAAGAGATGAAAAAGTGATGACACTTGACATAACATTGGAATGTTCAAAAGTATAGTTAATATAAGTAAGATTTATATATTAGATTAGATAGAGAGAAAAAAGACTAAAAAAAATCAACATGTTAAACTTTTAATTTGAAAATTTTGAATTTTTTTTCTTTTGGACAGTGAAATTTCCATGTTTAATTTTGAAAAAAAAATGATTTATATTGTTGAGTGAGAATGGGGTGTGAGAGTGTGAGAGTTGTGGTTTACTTGTTAAGTTTTTGATTTTGTTTAAATACGCATCAAATATTTATATGTGTGTCTATATGTAAAAATGTGTTTGTAGAAAAAGGAGAGATGTTAATTCATAATTCAAAACATTAGATAATGACAGGCACATATACGTGATTAGGCTAAGAGCTTCATGGTTTGGTGGCCCAACCTTCATCATATGCTTTTTTTTTTTCTTTTGAAAATCATGCTTTTTTCTAATGAAGGAAACCCATTACGTTCAATATGTAAGACTAGAAATTTTTTTTTTAGATAAACAAAAACATTTTAGAATCAAGGGGAAGAAACCAATTGGAATATGGAAATCAATACTTCATAAAAAAAAGTTGGGCTTTTAAATCTTTGGGCTGATCCGGGTCTAAAGAGAAATAGCTCAATTTAAATAAATCCTTGTGTTTGGCAACAGTTAGGGTTGCCTTATAAGCTCGCCATAGCCTCATTTGTTACCCTGACTTTGGTAGACGAAAGAAGCAGAGCTACAGTGTTAAGAGACACGGCGCCAACGCCCAACAACCATGGTTCACGTCTCCTTTTACCACAACTGTAAGCACCCTCTCTCTATTTAACAATCTTTCTTTGAACTTTGATCTGCTTTAGATATTTGCCATAGATCTTATATCACTTTTTGTCTTGTCTGTTTTGATTTTCTTTTTTGGCCTGCTACTTTGTTGGGATTGTTGTTCTGGGAAACGAGAAATTGGGTTTTTATATTTGTGATTTTAGTTTAGATTTTCATAGTCAACGGAGGTTGAGTAGAGGATGGAATTTGTTATTTGTTTCTTGGGTAGCTGATAAAACAGAGGAAAAAAAGGGAAATATGGGTATTTGTTTGTTAAATTATTGATTTTATTTTACTGATCTTGAAAAACTAAAGGCCTGCAAACTGGGTGTTCAGAGCTGAAATGCTTATGTTAGTTTGCTAAATGATTTGTTGGATTGTGATTTTTTCCTCGTTTGTAAAATTATGAATGATTACAGATGGGAAGACATTTAAGAAGCCTCGTCGTCCTTATGAAAAGGAGCGATTGGATGCTGAGCTGAAGCTGGTGGGAGAGTACGGGCTGCGATGCAAGAGGGAGCTCTGGAGAGTTCAGTATGCTCTGAGCCGCATCAGAAATGCTGCTAGGGATCTACTGACCCTTGATGAGAAGAACCCACGTCGAATCTTTGAGGGTGAGGCTCTTCTTCGCAGGATGAATCGATATGGGCTTTTGGATGAGAGCCAGAACAAGCTTGATTATGTCTTGGCCTTGACGGTGGAGAACTTCCTTGAGCGTCGCCTTCAGACTCTTGTATTCAAGGCTGGTATGGCTAAATCTATTCACCATGCTCGAGTGCTTATCAGGCAGAGACATATCAGGTGAGCTTATTTAACTTTTTAATAACAGTTGCGAACAATTGATTTAAACTTTCTCCATTATGTTTCTGATGTACTCTTTTATCCTGATGATTAGCTAAATAAGTTGTGTTTTCTTGATCATTTATGACTAGTAACTGGTTATACTTGTAAAATCAATATGATTTAGTTGTAAAATATAGGTTATTAGATCATTAGATATAGGAATTTCTCAAAACAAATAGTGCACTTTTTCTTTTGAATGGGGGACGTTTTTACCTCTATTACTTGAATATTGGATAAATATAGTTGCATTTTCCTTTGTTTGTTCCTTCTGGTTATGCATACTGCAATAAGATGTAGGCTTATTGTATCAAAATTTTTTTCTATTGATCTATTTGGCGTCTGACATTGGAAAATTTTGCTTTTGTTTGATTTCTTTTATATACCAACACACAATTTTTGTTTTTATTTCATTTCATGTGTTATCTAGTTATGCTGGTTTATTCAATACTATTTATGCTTGAATTTTTTCTGATAACTTTATATTATTGTGGTATAATTATCATTTGTCCATCAATACTCTGCTTAATTTCTTCTGATTGTACAGGGTTGGAAGGCAGGTGGTCAACATTCCTTCTTTCATGGTGAGGGTTGATTCCCAAAAGCACATTGATTTCTCTCTCACTAGTCCGTTTGGTGGCGGACGTCCTGGAAGAGTAAAGAGAAAAAATCAGAGGGCAGCTGCCAAAAAGGCTGCTGGTGGAGATGGAGATGAAGAGGATGAAGAATGAGTAATGGGTCTTTGATCTTTTGCAGATATTTACAGTAGGACTATGTTATCTAAGCTAGTTTTGCATGACCAAAAATGTTATGTCTTGGTGTTTATTTGGACATTGTATTTTACTGAATTTTGTTAGCTTCCAAGAGAATGTGGTTTGTGGTTTTCTTTTTTCTTATTTCCATATAGCTTATACTTTCCTAGCTTGAAGAATATGTTAATAAATTTGTATTTTCTCTGCAAAGTGAGGCAAATATTAGTTCTAGAGCGAGGGGATTTTCCAAGTTGAAAATGTTACATTTGAACCAAGTCAGATTTTCTCAAACCGTGTTCATTTGTGATGGAAGAGACGATGAGATTTCCTCAAACAGCTTTAAACCAAGTGAGGCCAACATTTCAGTGCATGGTGAGACCAAACTTGTGGTTATGACATTTAATTGTATTGGATAAAAAATAAATATGATTCAGATATGTCATTTAATACATTTATAAAATATAAATATTGATATACGAATTGATTATGATAATCAATATAAGTAATCTATATTGATAAATAACCGAGAACTTTGTTTACTGGTTTAGTATTTTAAACTAGGTGAGATTATTACTCAATTCCAACCATAAATCACAAACTTTCGATAAATCGAAATTCCAAAGGGCTAGCTGATTATTTTTTCTTGTTTAGCATCTAATTTCTATCCACGCAAAACTGTTGACCTGCAGCTGCTGCCTGCTGGATTAAAATTCCGCGGCCAACCAACAGTAGACCCAAAAGAATGATAACTTAGGTCACATATTTTTGCATACATCCTTCCAATCTACAGATACATTCAGACCAGACCTTCAAAACCCGTAACTCACTTTTGTGTCCCGACCCTATTATCAAAATAAAACCAGACAGAAGAAACTCAACATGGATTCTGTTACCTTCAAGGGCTATGACAAAGTAAGCCAACTTGAAAATCAAAACCTTCACCAAAGAATCGCCCAAAGACCTGTCTCAACCGCCATCTCCATCTCTGCTATCCTCGTCTTCACTTTGGTCAGCGGTTTAACGCTTGCTGCGTTGATGCTGGAACCCATCAAAGAACCTACAGACACGGATTCGTCTTCTCTTTCTTCTAATTCGGCTGAGTCAATCAGGATCATCTGCAACGTGACTCGGTACCCTGAGTCCTGTTTCACGGCTCTATCTTCTCTCAACGCCTCTACAAAACCTGACCCAGAAGCCATCCTTAAGCTCTCTCTCCAAGTGGCAATCACCCATCTTTCAAACCTCTCTTCATCACTCAAGTCCCTCAACGATCTCCACTCTCAACCTGCTCTAAAAGATTGCATGACCCTATTTGATGACGCGCTGAGTAGACTCAATGACTCAGTGTCCGCAATGAAAGTGGGTTCTGGGAAGGAGCTTGTGTTGACTAAGGAGAAAATTAATGATATCCAGACTTGGATTAGTGCTGCAATGTCTGATCAGGAAACGTGTCTTGATGGGTTGGAAGAGATGGGATCGATGGTTCCTGATAAAGTCAAATCTCAAGTTCAAAGCTGTCAAGAGTCTATCAGTAATAGTTTGGCTATTGTTGCTAATATGCAAAATCTTCTACAGAAGTTTGGTCTCACCATGCACTGAAATTTTTTTGGGGTTTTTTTTCTTCTTTTGCTTTAAATTTCTTGTCTTCATATGTGGGATTATTGTTTTGCATTTGTAAGGTGATGCAAATATAATTGTGTAAAATTTACAGTTAAAATGATTTTCTGATACCCCAAATCGTGTCCTGAAGTTTAATTCTATTTGTTGATGATATTTATTGAAAATGTTAGGGATTCTGTAGCCTGTAATCACTCTTCTTAATGGAGAATTTTGTCTCAAATTTACATAAGATATTGCCTGAAGAGAAACTGGAATTGGCTTTTGAAAATCTCCTGCTACCGATTGACAAAAATTCTTTCTTTGGTTTGCTCTTCCGGACAGATTGCCTTATAGTGCTGAAGATATGCCCTGAATATTTTGAGGGATAGTATTCTAGCCCAGACTGTGTGGTCTTTGCTTCGTGCTTATCTAGTACCACAACTCTCTGGAGTCAATGACAGCTTTGCTTGGCTTGAATCAAATTGTATTTGCACTTTCTGATCTTCTTGGAATATGATTTTCATTTGCTGTTGCTAGTACCTTCGAAAAGCCAGATTCCTGAAGGAAAATAACTTGATTATATAAGCATTCTGAACACCGTTTTTTTAAATTTTTATCTTGCTGGAAATCTGGAAAAGGATAGTCTTACTACAAATTTGCTAAAACTCCTGTTACCCTTCAGGTCTTTTAGAAAAATGTACCCAAAGCGATGGGCTAAATTGAAATCAGCTATCTTTCTTCAAGCAGTCCAGGGCTTGCATGTTCTAAAGGAGTAATGAGAGATGATAAGATTATATCACATGTACAGGCAGAGCTATGGCCGATGGGGTTAAGTAATGAACTTTTATATAAGCCGAAATCTCTGCATAACTTTACTGGAAGTGAATGCAATTAATTGCAGCTATAGGATTAGTTAAAAATTCCAAGTGAATTATCCGTCCCCAAAATGAAAATGCTAGTGTGGATTGAGGATAATGGCCCCAGTAAAACTCTTATTTATCGATGCTTAATGTTTCAATTCCATAGCACAAAAATTAGCCACTGCATTATAGAAGAAACAAGGCGAGCTGATCTTCTAGCCGGAGCTGAAACGTCTTTGCAGTTTTATACCCTGAAATGGTTGGAGTTTATTATTCCAGGTTTGCAAACACTGTTTAATGTCAATTTATCTGATCAAGGCAGCAAATATGTAACTATCCAAAGAAATACAAAAAGCAATCCAATATTGTGTGATAAAGATGGCAGAAAGAGGGTTCTGTTGAGATCGGTTACTACCATTTCTAGTAGGTAATTCGTAGGTTTATCATGCAGACAAAGGTAGTTGATCTTTGGCAATCATCAATCTTGACTAGAACAATGATTTTAGGCTTCAGATAAGAACTCAAAATCACCACCCGACTAGATGCACCTGGAAAGAGGAACCAATCCCACCTCAGTTTCAAATTTAATTCGTTTGGTACTTAAATTACACTCAGAGACCTTTACAAATTGCCGAGCTGGATAGCGCCAGCTTGTAACCCGGGTGGGGGCAATAAGATCATGGAACATTGGTTCGATTCACCGAGTCGGGTCTATAATGGCTCTTAGAGTGGAGGGAACCGCGTGAGGCTGGATTGACAGAGCAGCGAAAACCTCCCGCTCTTGGCAGTGGAAGGATAACAGGCTGATGTCACTTAGATCCAACATGGCTCTGTAGGTTGATTCTAATTGAACCATGACCTTTTTGAAGCTTGAATCATATTTTATGGCAAATCAATGGAATGGTCAGTTCTTTGATGAAAGTTTAGTAGAGTAATTCATGTAATTTAATCTTTATATCATATTCGGGGTGTTTGATTGTAAAAGTAAAATGAGGAGTGACTTATTTGCTGGCATTTGAGTGGCAAAGGCAGCAGGAATGGGGTCTTGTTCAGATCGGTTGCTTACAAATCCATCGAATTTTCACTTAAACTGTATCAAGTTGATCTTTGCCAATCATGAATAGTGACAAGAACATTCAATTTAAAGTTTCTGATAAGACCTCAAAATTTATCACCTTGGTAAGGTGCCTTCAGAAAGAAAAAGGAACCAAATCCCACATCGAAGACTTTAAACATTCACGTGTGATTTATACATAGCGCAAACAGCGACGGTTGTTCGCCTAGTTTGGTAATGCAAGCTTCTGACCCAAGTGGGGGTAATAAGGTGATGGGACAATGGCGCTCTTTCGATGCCAGCCAGGTTCCTTTTTGCAAATCTCTGGCCTGCCCGTTCCAAGCTTAAAGATGGGCCCTGAGACCTGAGCGAAGGTTCTGGGTCTCGCGGCTCCTAAAGTGGAGGGTATTGCGGGAGGCTGGATTCACAGAAGCCACAGCGAAAACTTCCCGCTTTCGGAAATGGAAGGATAACGGGCTAGTGCCACTTGAACTCAAATTGGCTCCATGGGTCGACCCTAACTACTATCACTTTTTTCTGCCATCTGTTCCCCTTTAATAGCAGACCTTGGGTTTTTGCTATTTAAATGCCTTTGATAATGTTCTTCTTCTTTTTTTTTTGTCTGCAAAAATGAGTCCGAATGTTTCCCACCCATTTACTGCGTCATTGAAAATGCAAAGGAAAGACAACAAATTGAACTAGATGCAAAAAGCATGTCTCTAAAAATCTGTTATTTTCGTCCAAGGAAATTCATTACATATGCACAAAGGTGTTCTGCTCTATTGTCTCTCATTTATGTGTAACTTTCGTGGTTAAATAACACTGTGGATCCTGCTATATTCTCTTCACATTGTCTTTCCATAGTGGTTGTACGATAGAGTTTTTTAAGACTCTTAACTTGTTTAGTTTACAAACGTTTCCCATTAAACTGCCTCTACTCATGGACAAATTTTAAACACTTGAATTCAGATAGCAGAATCAACAATCAGTTTGAACAGCATCTTAAAACTCTTCTTCCTTTGTAATTGACTGTTTCAATATCCTTTGTTTAATTCTTCCAGTAGTTTATTAGTAATATTTCTGCTGTTTTGCGGATGAAAGAAGGGTTATGGCTTGAAGGGATAATCTAATCTCTCACCAAACCTCTCAAAGCCACCAATCACAGAGCTAAAGCCCAAATGGTAATCTGTAATTAATTGAGTCACTCTTATTTGCAATTCCTCAAGGGAAAATGGGACTATTTCCATGACAGTATCTGAGATTCACTGATTGCATGTAGGAACTGTTGATTATATGATTAGGAACCAATGGAGTAAACTATGGAATTGCCACAGTTGAACTCGAGGATTAGCTCAATTGATTCATACAAGTATGAATAAAAAATGATATCTTATAGGTCTAGAATTCAAATTCCAGCAGATACGACTCCCTTCCATATCCCACAACTACGTCCTCTTTTGTAAGAAAAAATTATCGCCCGTTGAAGTAAGAACTCCTAGAAAATGTTTTTGGCAGTGTACATAGTTTCTCAAGTAAAAGGGGGCCCCAAGACCAAAACTTTATTAGTTGAATATAGACAAACAAGGAAGAATGAGATACGACAGATACAACGAAACATGGAAATACTTACATTTGATATACATAGTTTATACTCTAAATGCTCTCCAAGTCCCAATCAAACTCGGATATAATTAAGAAACAATGAAACATGACAGTTGCACAAAAGGAAAAACACACATTTTTGTCTGTAGTTGCACCTTCAGACAATTTGAGAAAGAAAAGAGGAAAGGGTACTGGGGCGTTACTGCTGCAGCAAACCTTTAAGAATCTCTGCATCAAAACTAGTTATATCCACGGAACCTAGACGTTGAGATAGTCTTTCGCTCAAATCATCTACCTCTTTTTGTAATTTTCTGATGTAACAGCATGTTTCGTTCAAAACTTTTGTTGCTGATGCCTACAAAGATAAAATCATAGAAATAATGGTTAGCGTTGAAAATCTTCCTCATCATAATATAGACATAAAAAACTCACATTCAAATCCCCACAGTAGAACTTTATTCTCTTTGATGCAAAGGGGTTTCGTGATTTATCCTCATTGTTGGAAGGGCTTACTGAAGCCACTCTTTCTATTTTAAGAGTGCTTGGGATAGCATGACCAGAAGATATATGTTATTAATATCATTGCAATGCAGTCCAACAGGTCTGCACATGATCATTGCAATGAATTCCGAGTTAAAATAAGATTTCTCCATGATGGCTTCTCTCATTGGCGGATGCAATTCATAGGTAGGGTGTCCAAGACGACCCCAAAACTTTAGAAAACACGAAACTTTAAAGAAAATTGTTTTTACACAACTCCAAAATTTTTTCAAACATACCTTTCTTAATTCCCTAATCACCCTATTCGCTTGACTACAGCCACAGCCAACTAACACCGAACACCCAAACACCCACTGCAATAAGTGGACATCCAAAAAAAAACATGGATCCGCGGTCCCCTATTGTTGACTGTTCAGTTATAATCAGAATATTCTCATCATCCTTGTCAATGACATGGCAAAAGTTTTATAAACAGGTAAACAGCATTCTGGAATAGGTTATAGCTAGGGAGTAAGAGGATCAAATACATTGGCACCAAGCTTTGACAAAGTGAAACAACTCGAAGGAGAATAAATAAAGACAGAGAGAGAGAGAGAGAGAGAAATCTAGGCTCTACCCTGCCATTGCGGCCTTGATTGAGCTGTGGCAGCAATGTTTGTAGTTTTAAGATGAGAGAATTGAGCTCATCATCTGTGATTTTGTTTGAAGCTCTTGATCCTTGGCTAGACATGAAGAAACCTTGCTTCTGTGCTCTCTTTTTTTAACACTCTCTATTATCCCTAATATATCGTATAGTAGGGGTGATGGTTGGGAGTTTGAAATTAGAGGGCACAAGCAACTTAAATAGAGACTTTCTGGATGGAGATTCCACAACAAGGTAGTTGATAAAAACATATAAACAAACAAATAAATAAATAAATAAACATTGTTGATTTACATATACTCAAACAGGAGCCCATCTGTCCGAAAAATGCCCTTGATTTTTTTTTATTGCAAAACTTTAGCATATCTTGACTGACAAGTGTTTAACTAGGTTGTATTTTGGAGTGTTTATATATATATATATAAAAATTATATTTGATGATATAAATTTATAAATAAATCATATAATAATATTTTATAAAAAAATTAATTTTAAAATTTTTAAAAATAAATATATTTAAAATTAATTTTTATAAAATATTATTACATAATTTATTAATCGTGTATAAAATATAAATCTTTAAAACAAATAAGGGCAAGAGAACATTTCAATCATTTTTGTAGAAGCTATATATATATATATATTATATTGGAAAAAAATGTATAAAGATAAAAGGAAAATTATAAGATCTGTTGGTTGGATGTAACTAATCAGATTTTAAAGATTATTAAATTTATATAAAGTACAGATGTTTGCATCTTACCAAATTGATACATTTGTCTCTTATATGTTTAATGGAGGCATAGCTTTTTTTTTTGCTTGTCTCTTGCTTTTGCCTTCTCTGGTCTCTACTCTGTTGTAGAACATGTGTTTTGGTTCACACACTTTTTTTTTTCAGACAAAGGTTAATTACCATATTTGCAAGTTGGCCCGTCAAAATCTATTCTAGATATGATAAGATCTAGAGAACTGTTTAGTGATTGGACGAAAGGTTTATCTTTGTTAATACGAAGTGTTTCACTTATAATTTTTTTTATTAAAATTATATAATTATAACAAATGAAAACTTATTATTTAATATAATATCATAAATATATCTTAAGATATATTGCAAAATAAAAAAATTAATTAAAAATAAAAAAACATGTGTTAATCTTTTAACATCGCTTATAAAATTAAAAATTTATAATGTATATCAAACATTAATGTTTTAAATATATTTTAAAAGATACGTGTTATTTTATTATTCTCGTTTATAGAATTTAAAAATTTTAATTATTAATGTATTTAATAATTTTTTATAAAAAAAATTAGATTCACATTTATGACTTATAAATATAAATTTTATAACAAATTTAATTAAAATACTCTATATAATTTTATTATAATATAATAATTATAAATGATATACTTCTTGATATGAAAAAGCCCTCAACTCAATATTTCGTCGTGACCCTAAACAACACATAAGTAATTTTAATTCAATGTACAAGAGTTGCTAAAAGAGACCCTCTTCAATGCCATGTCAACCCCTTTTCAATTTTTTTCTTTCACCAAAAAATTCATGCAGTACCATAGGAGCAACTTACAAAGTCTAGAAGTAAGCCCCAAGCTATAAAAACAGTACCTCAACTACCATTTTCTAGGCAGTTGTTGTGCATTTAACCGATATCTATTGGAGCCACCCTCCTAGGTAAGCAAAACTTACAAATTCATAGGTATGCTGGGACCACCCTCCTAGCTAATGCAAATAGGCTAAATCTATTGGAGACAAGCATGAGGCAAGAAACGCATTCGAGAGCAAAACTTGATGTGACGATGCGTCCGGGAAGAAGATCAAACGTGACTGAACTTAGAGCGGCAAAGACAGGCATATAACTGCCGCTGCTGATGGACACGATTTCAGGCCTACAAGGCAATTTGGAAAACAAGAAAGAGGGGCAATAATTTTGGTGTTTGGAAGTGTTTTTGTCTTCATCTACCGACCTCATAATTTGGCCCTAAATTTTCGGTCACTGACCTTACTGTTTCACTTAAATGCACGATACTACATATATATATATATATATATATTGCCTGCATGAGCAACATGGCACAGTGGAAATAGGCATGTGAACATGGAGTTCAAAGCAAAAGGGTTGTACTCGAGGCTTCTTCTCTTCCCTACTCTTCTTTGACGGAAATTCATAGGAGGCAATGTCATTGTCCTTGGACCCTCGCCTGCCTGCTTGGCTTGACAAAGTTTGAGGAAAGATTGTTAGAGATGAAATAATTTTTTCTGTTTACCCTAGATTATTTTATTGGAGTTTAAAAAAATTTTCTGCTAAAATTGTAAGTTTTATTTTTAGTTGCAATCCCCAAAATTTAACCATTGGTATATTTAATTAGTAGACAAGGAATTAATTACACATGACTTGAAGGAAAGATGAGTCTCAACTCTCAACCACCAATGTTGAAGAAGGCCTGGAGGCATTTTTTTTCAATGGTCAGCCTTTTAGGGTTTCAAAAATTGAAACCCAACAACTCTATCTCTTAGATACGATCTTTTAGCAGATAAAAATCCTCCTCATTTTCCTTTACTTACTTTTGCGGAGTGATTAAGTTGGACTTTTGGAGTTAAATTATCAAAGTCGACCAGAATATTCTAAAAGGAGGAGAAAATAAGAAGAAATTCTAGCAATCCTGCTCTTAAGCAACTGTTTTAAGTCAGACATTGAAATCTATCAAACTGGAATCTTGGAATATTGCTGTAATTTATCCTAGCTTTTGACTCTCAGAAATAAGAAATTAAATAGAAAATGTTAAATAAATATAAATGATAAATCCAATATTTAAAGCCACATCTGCTGTCTTTTTTGCTTTTGTTGTTCTAGATGATTCAGAATATGAAAAGGTGAGATAAAAGCAATGGTTTATACTTGTAAATAATTAATTAATATAAATTTTTAAAGAAAATATTTTATGTTTCTTATTTGGCATTCAGATCAATAAATTTTCCAACTCTTCATTATTTAATTTTCTTGTTTATATTTTCCAAAAATGAAATGCACCCCTAACTATACAAGGATCTTGAGGAGATTTTTTTTTTTTTTATCATTGTTTAATCAGTCAATGGCCTAATTACTAGGATAGGCCTACTTTTTATTTTTTATTATTCATATTTGATTTTTTTTTTCATATTTTATTTAAAAGAACAAATAAAAAATTAAAAAAGGGTCATTCAAGCAAACCTAAATCTTCATCTTTAGTCTTAAAATTTGATTTGGAAAACATGTTTGTAGTTGCAGGAATTAGTTTTTAAGTTTTTATGGCAAGGAAGAAAGAGCTTGTCAATCCATGTAAAACTTCTTTCAGATTCTACGAACAACGAATAAATGTCGTGTCAAGCGTATCAAGAGAATAAATAAGATGCTTTAATCCTATTCATAAAATTGAGGGTTATTGGAGTGTTGGCATGATAAATTTTAATAAATCATGTAATAAGTAATATCAAAATCAATTTTTTTTTTATTTAATTTCGTGTCAAGATTTTAAGCGATAAATAAGACGTGTGAATCTGATTATTTAATAAAATATTAAAATAAAATATAATGATAAAATTAAATCATATTAAATATTTTAATATTTAATAAAATATCAAGATAAAATATGATAATGATATAATTTAATCAATACTTCAAAACAGAGTTGCTTAGGTGGCATCCGTGATGTCTTGGAGAACAAATTAAGTGGCAATTATGATTAAGACGTTATGAGATTGAGTAAGAAAGATATTACATCAAGTATTCCAAAAAAACTAGGCAAAATATTTCAATTTTACATTAAATAAAAAATAAAATTTTACTAAATATATAAGTATTGATGCTACGTACTCTATTAAGTTGATGTTGTGGGAAAGGACAATGGCCATTTGACGTAAACTCGTCCGTGGTCCAATAGCAACAACATTTATTTCTGGATTTATTTATATACTATAATATAATTTGTATAATATTAGTAGCACATTTTCTCTTTCTGATTTAGTTTTTTATGACAAATAATTACTGCTTAATCTAAATTAAAAAATTTAAAGTTCAGCTTAAATTTATTTTTATTTTTTTTTTAATAAAAAAGACGTTATAATCTAAAAAATTATATATATTAAAATTTAAATATTAAATTTATTATATACAATATTTTAAAAATAATTACATGAATCATCCGAATTTTGAATTTTTTTTTATCAATTAATTTTTTGATCCTAAATTCATTATAAAAAACTTTTTACCATACAACCAACTGGCCAGTATTTATGAAATAATATTTTCAGTGCTAAAATAAAAAAAAAAAAAAGGTTTTAAATTGGTCCAGGAACAACATTGATCAAAGGGTAGAGCAGCCGACAAATGATTTTATACGAAAATGAGTTTGCTTATCTCTAGGATAGGAAGAACATGAGGATTATGTGAAGAGTCGAGTCAACAAGATTCCAAATCCTTTTATGTCTAAAATGGCCGATTGTTAAAAGTGAAAAATCTCTTCCTCAACATAAAGCAAGAGGATTAGGAACATTGACCGCTGATTCAGCAATGGATTTTGGGTTCGACCAAAAAAAAAAAAACATGATTAGATTTTGGACAATGTCAAAGCTAAAAAAGGATTACCATTGATAAAAGAAAAAGGAGATTTGACGTTGGATGACAATAGAAGCAGGACAAACTTGGCAATGTATTTGCCTGCTGATGTTCTTAAACAGCATGATTCAACATCGGAAACAAAAACCAAAAAACAAATAATCCCAGTTCAAGTTTTATGCAAAGAAAAAAAAAAAGGAAGAAAAATTAAAAATGATGACGAAAAACTAACAATTACAATTAATAACAATGATGCTCAAAAAATTAACAAAACAATTTCATTTTTATTATAATTGTAGTGTTTTCTGAAACAAATGGGTTAATCAAAGAGGTGAAGAGCCAAGCCAAATACAAACGCAGACCTAACGTCTCTGTCCTTGTTCTGTGTCCAAGCCAAGCCTACCGTGTATTCAGATACAATGATAAGGGAATCAAAATTCAAAAGCCTTTTATTTCGTAAATACTCTGTTCTTCCCAATCTTTTCTGCTTCAGAAATTTCCGTACTCTGCAATTAGATCCTCGCTACCACTGTATTCAGCAACATACTCTCCAAGTTGATCAGCTTGATCCAATAGAATCTCAAGGAAAAAAACATCTTCACTCCACTCTTTAAAAATAGATTCAGCAGAGTGAGTTGCACCAATGGAGTTTGCAACTTTGATTAGAGCATCATTATCCGTTAAGGCAGTCAATCCTCCACCTTCTTGGCATATAGGAAGTAAGCAATCCAAAAGTTTTTATGACTGGTGTACCAGCTAATCTCAAAACGTTGACCTCAAAAACATAAAACTGTAGCCAATGATCTGATACCGATCAATCAAAGATGATAAACTAGCTAAAAATACTGATGGAAACTGCTAGAGATTTATAATCATGAGAATTAGAGAGAATTGCCCCCTGAACCTTCTTAGTCCAGTTTCTTTCTTCAGCCATCTCCGGTTTTAATTTTTCCAGTGTCATCTTAGCTCCATTTCTGCCCATAAATCAAGCCAGTCAGGTCGATCACAGAAGACAGATGAAATCTTACGCAGGGTCCCATCTTCCTGAAAGGAAAGCAAGACCCCAAACTGTTCTACACGTTTGTCAAAAGAGACAATCAAGTCAACGAGATGGAGCCAAGATGTCCTAACCTTTGATCTATTTACCTGCCACACTCTTCCTCCAATTGACCAACATGTATAGGGAATATCTCTTTTGCCAATTATGTTGATAAGGAGGATACAATTGCTGAAATCGATTCTTCTCTACAACTGTACCCAATTAGCATTGCTTCGTCAATCAATGGTGGCAATAACTAATCCATAAAACCAACATAATGCAGTGTAATTTTATGTACCAGAACAAAAATGATTTCTGGTTTATCGATCCACTTCGAAAATCACATTGGGATGCAACAAATACAGGATTGACAAGCTCTTCAATTGCCCAAAGTGGATGGTGAAGAGCAACCTCCCAATAATGGCCCTCAACTCGGCAAGATTTTCTTTGTCTCTGCGACTCATGCAGGCGGCACAGGGCAAGAAAGTCTTCACAGTACTGGTGTTTGAGATCACCTTGAATAGTAAAAAGAGGATTTGGGACCTCACTTGATTTCCTTGTAGCCGGACTATAGGAAGTCAAATTGAAAATTGGTGGTGGCCATCTAAGGAATGAGAGGAGGGCTTGATGATCTGTGATTTCCTGGGGTCTTATTATTGCTAGAGCTCGATCTACTCTGTGATCAACAGTGGAGACTAGGCGTGAACATGCCCATTAAGGGCATGCCTTTGTGACTGAAGTTACCAAGTCCTTTGTCAGTTGAGTGTTTTAATAGCAACTGGGCACGATTCCTGCAACAGCAACAAAGAAAGTGGTCTATACAAGATATAGTTTCACAAGAGTGTGTGTGGGTGTATTTTTCTAATGGAGGCACTTACTTTTGAATTTTGTGCGGAAGAGTCCTTTCTTAAACTTCTGTTCATAGTAGAAGAGATGACATCTTAAGTTGAATTTGGATAAATCCAGCAAGGCATTCTTGCATGGACTTGAGCTTGCTTTGATGATAGGTAGGCTTGTTGTGCTGTGGATCTGTGGGCTTTCATCGAAGCAAGCATGCGTGACAGCTCGAGGATAAATAGTATCATAAAAACTCATTTATATAAATATAATTAATAATAATTGTAAATTGTTTGCCTCTTTTAATTATGTTTAAAATATCTATTCACAAATTTAAAATAAAGTAAAATCAAATATAATGTCCTAAGATAAGATTCATGAAAAGAGTTAGACAACAATTCCTCTTATTAATAGCGAGCTATTATTTAATAGTATACGAGTAGAATTAAAGTTCTAAGTGCTACTATCTCATAAAGCACAAAAAGACAAACTCATAGAGGAATAGTCCAACACATTAATCATAGACTAACCAAAGAAAGCATATGTGAATATAAGACGCGTGTCTAGTTCTCATCGTAAAGGAATCAACAAAATATTCCTTCTGTTTCCCACCTAACATTGTTTGACACATGGTGATACCTGATTGGTTCCATATCTATTATTGTAGAAATAATATCAAAAGAACAAGCGGGAAAAGCAAACATTTGATAAGATCAATCAAAAGATAGAGGTTCAGCTAAACTTTTTTTTTCTAAGCTAGAACAAAACTGGATTGATCGAGAGGAGTTTCATAATGTGGTTGGATATAAATAAGCCACTAAAAAACAAGTATAAGCCAATAAATGAGTAATAAGTGTAAACGAAGGCAGAGGGACATGTAAATGAATATGGATAATGTGATTTTGTACTGTTCAGCTTCAAGCAGTCAAGTGAGGATTGCTCTATCTCCTAAGAAAAGAACTTTGGAAAACCCTACCTTATTATTAAAAAAGGAGTGGTCTCTATGTTCGCTTTATTATTGTCTTTTATGCTGCTTTCTTATTGTCCTATTTGACTCTATTATGGCAATCTATTCTTGAGAGATCATTGCAACACTGCAAAAAAACAAAGGAATATTCACTTTTAGGGCGGGCATTTCATACTCAAACCCCAATGAAGAAAGGACAATTATTCAACACACTAAAATCTAGTAGATTTGGTTCAAAATGATATTTGTTAGTAACCAAGACAAGAATTCTTACCAATAATAAGAAATGATTTAGAGCCTCCAACGCTTATAAATAGAAGCTTCTTTCGGTTTTTATTTGATAAAAGAAAGACATAGAAGTCATAAAGAAAAGAAAAACTTTCATTCAATAAGACCTAATACTCCTATGGATATCATTGGAAGACTTGTAACCATTCTAAGAAGAAATATAACTAAAAATGAGAAACTCCAACAGGAGCAATTTTGCCGGTCTATTTTAGGAGCATTCGCCTGCTATCGATTCGGAGGTCATAGGATGAATGATGCAATCGATTTGAGATCGCATTCATGATCTGGAAGACAAAAGAAAAACTCTACTCAACAAAGAGAAAGAGCTCATTGTGCATACTGTCGCCCTTAGTGACCAAAGGGACTAAAAGAGTCCATCAACTCTTTTTTGTTCTTTTCACTTGATCTTTCTCACCTTGGCCTTGAACCATGTCAAGGGTCGATCGGAAAGTTCCTTGCCTCTTATGCTAGACATGAAAACAAATGTCTACAAACCAGACATGAAAACAAACGTCTACAGACAGTCAGACACTTATTACCATGTCTAAGATTGATTATAAAGTTCCTTGCCTTTAACGCTAGGTACGAAAACAAACATCTACAGACCGAACATAGAAACAAACGTATACAAACACTTATTTAATTTAAACCTTATAAAACTAAAAAGAGTTGACAGACTTTTCTAGTCTCCTCGGTAACCTAGGATGAAGCCCACACAATGATCACTTTCTTTTTTGTTGAGTAAGGCTCTATTCCTATCTTTTAGGCCACGAATGTGGTCCAGGATCGATAACATCTTTTGTCCCACAACTTTCAAGGATGCTACCAAAACAAACCTAATGACTGCTTCTGTTAGAGCTTGTTGAAAGTCTTCCAGCAATATATATTTCTTTTATTTGTCATCTACATGTTTATTCGCCAAACAAAGAATGAAAAAAACTTTTATTTATAGGCATCCAAGGCCTTTAACCCTTTCTTATTATTACTAAAAATGCTTATCTTGGTTCTCTAATAAGGATTACTTCAACTTTTTCATTAATAGTGAACCAGATCCGCTAGATTTTAATGCGCTGAATAATTGTTTTTTCCCTGTTACAAGTTCAATACAAAAGGCTCACTCCAAAAAATGATAGTCCTTTGGTTTTTTTGCTAGTATTGCCACATGAATTAAACCCTATCATTTCAAGAATAAAACACAATAGAGCATAATACTATCATTTCAAGAACAAAACACAATAATAGAGCATAATAGAATAATAATAGAGAAACTAGGCGCCAATTATAATCAGACATAAGAGATTACTATCCTTTTAATAATAAAGTAGGGTCTTCCAAAACTCTAGAGTAATTTGTACTTGATAGCTCAAAACTGACTATTACAAAACCATGTGATCCGTCCTTATTTAACTTCAATGGCTTCGTTATAGCCTTACTACTCCTCATTTACTGGTTTATACTTTTCTTTTACTACTCCTCGTTTACTGGTTTATACTTTTCTTTTACTGGCTTATTTATACCCAACTACATGATGAAACTCGCCAGCTCTATCCTAACTTAAAAAATAAATGTTTGGTTAACACCTTATCTCTTGATTGATCTGATCAAATGCTTACTTTTCTTGCATGCTTGTTCTTTTAGTATTATTTCAATATTATTTCTATAACTATAGATTTGGAGCCAATAAATATCACCGCATGTCAAACTGTTCAGGCAGAAGACAAAAGAAATATTTGGTTGACTAATTTCCAATGAAAATTAAACAAGTGTCCCATATACCAATATGCTTTCTTTAGTTAGCCTTTAATTTATGAATTATGAGTTGGCTTGTTCCTCCATTTGTTTATTTTTGTGTGGTTTCTCGGCTAGAATCGCTCATAATTTCAATTCTACTCACATACTATCAAATAATAGCTATCTACTAACAAGGGTGGTTGTTGACTTAACTCTTTTCATGAATCTTATCTTGTACTAGTAAATAGTGTATGGAGCATTATATTTGAATTTACTTTATATCAAATTTGTGGATCAAATAATAATTTACAATTATTATTAATTATACTTACATAAATAAGACATTTTACATTATAATTTATCTACGAGACTGTTAGGCCTATCATAAGCGCTTCCATCCATAAGCCTTTCCCCACCAGTGCCATAAGTAACTTTTCTTACTGATTCATCACAAAGGGGGAAACTTGCCTTAAGGAAAATGACTTCCAACCAAACCCTTCAATTCTTTTTTCTTATGGACCCATTCCAATTGTAGTTGCCTACCCATAAATAGTTAAGCCATTCTGAGTGCTGCAGTATTCTCCAGAGTTGATGTACTCCTTCCTGCCTTGGCAAATCAAACTTTGACTATTTCATTTCCTGTTTGCAGGGATTCCTTCCTTGCCCGATCTGTTGGATTCCTTGGTGGCCCTGGTTAGAAAGCCTTTACCCTTGTGTAAGACTAAAAGATTTCTAAAGGCTGTCACTAGCTTTCGACCTAATTAGCATTAGCTTTCACCTATACCCAACTTTCTTCTTTTACACTATACCCCCCTAGCTTTCCAGCCAGGAATTTTGCATGCTTTCCTTATACTTTGTATTAAGTAGATTATCTGTGAACTATTGGGAGAAGGTTTTTGATTTCCACAAACACTTGACGAGAATTAGGACTAGGTACACGAAAATGCCACTGTTGAGAAGGGTAATAAGAGGCACTGGCAAGGCGATGGGCCTATCAAGAAAGAATAAACCACTCATACAAAAGATGGAGCTTATCTACAACCAGAGAAAAGAAACTCCCTTGGCTGATATAGAAAACCTCGCCTTGTATACTTTTTATAGCATATAGGTCTATTGAAAAAAAAAGTACAAATAGGGGAAGATCCACCATTAGTTTTCAATTTAAAAAATGAATCTCATATGTCGATTCCAAAGTCATTATTAGAGTAAAGTCAGGTCAGATTTGCTGCAAATCAAGCTTTCAATCAGTTCACCTTCTTCTGCTTTAGCTGATGCCAATGTTGATGCCCTATCTTTATTCATTCTTCTCCACCCCTAAACAATAGCAATAGCACAAATCTTAAGCTATGGCACGGAAAGGAATGGTTTCATGAATCATGGGTGGATCTTAACATCTTTACCACCAAAAGACTACTATGACTACATCATATCATCATAGGGGGTGGGGCTGCACCGCCAACTAAATTATCAAGCGTTGACATTATATCTAGTAGAAAAGATAGTTTTCAAGGAAAATGAGATGGGTGAGAGCATTACATCATAATTTTATAAAGAGGCAACAAAACATAATGGGAAACCTAACTAAAATTAAAAATAGAAGAAAGATTTAGCTACATTAGTTACTTTTCCAATAAAAGAATCCTCTTTATCCAATTTCATGAAGATATAGTCATATGTCTAGCAAAAGATTATGTCATCTTTAACTCTAAAAGCAAGAAAGAACCTAACAGGAAGGAAGTTCTTAACAGTAACAAGGAGCAACTATAGTTGACACTGCAAGAAGATATTTAGTCGATTCATTTCAAAGTAGTTTATCCAGGGCAGTGAGTTCATCCAGCCAGTGATCATCTTTTGAGGATTTTTAAGCATTAGGTGATTTTTTTTTTTTTTTGGGGGGGGGGGGGGGGGAGAAGGAACTGGTAATGGACTGCTTGTGGCAGTGTGCATAAAACTCAAACTACTGTTACCAGAATAGATGTACTTTCAACCAAGGCTCTTGAATCAACTGTGCTCTTAGATGCTGACAATATCTCTTGTGGAAATAAGCATGCTGTTTTAGTCACAAGACGGGCAAATCTTTAGTTGGGGTGAGGGAAGTGGTGGCAGGCTTGGGCATGGAGTCATGTCATAGTTGCTAACGGAGAGATATAAGAGATATATCATAGTGGCTAACAGACTAGACCGACATTGATAGATCCAAAAGAAACACAAACAAAGCAACTGCAAATGCAATAGTTAGATCAGATTAGCATATTATTTCAGAAACAATAAGACTCATAAGTCACAGCAAGGGCAAACCCATAGTGATAGTCCAGATGTGAATCCAACAGCTCGAATTATCTGGGAGCTTTAAGGCTTGGATTAATCTACAGACTACAAAAAGATCAAAAAATGATGGGGAGCAATAGCTTGAATTACTTGAGCTTTGGGGCTTGGAAAGCTAATAATTCTATGGAAGTCCACCCACCATGATCTCTCCATTCAAATAACTTATTTTGTAAATGAAGTTACATGTAAGAATAGAAATTACAATTACAATAAAACATTTTTAAAAAATGCATCCAGTAGAAGAAACCAATAAACAAGCCAAAAAAAAAAAAAAATTCAGTCAAGCAATATAAAGTTAGGCGAAAACCACGGATGGTGGGACTTAGACCTCGGAACTAGGGGTATATCTCCTACTTGTCATTGAGAAAAAGCCTCACTAGCGATGGCTAACTTCTTTATTACAAGAGAAGTACGAAATTACTTAAATGATCAGAAGGCTCTGTTTGACTGATGCTTTTGCTATTCGAGTTTAGATTCTTTTTTTCTTTTTATTTTATCTTTTGCTTTCTATTCATATTTTGCAAGAAATTTTTTTTTTTAAAAAGAGCAAAAGCATCAATTAAACCCAGTCCAATATGAACAAAGTTTACCTTAATTTCAACCATTGAACAACTAAAACACCTCTCTTTTTTTATGGAATCACAACAACTGAAATCCCAGAACAATATAAACAATAATAATTCTTAAGGCCTTTTTTAGATTCAATAAGCATTACAGAATTCCAATAAGCTATGATCTTTTAGAACCCTCACCGGCATATGCTCGGATGGTTTCCACCGTCGCCACTTCCTTGGCCAATGCCGGCAGCTCCTCCCCAATCCTTCTCCATCTATAACACAGTAATTTCCAAAAAGTAATAAATAAAATCAACGCTCTCCATGCAAAAATTCAAAAAAAAAATAAAAAAGCCTAACTTTCGAACAAAAATAGACACAATCAATAACAAAATCAAAACTTTTACATTGATTGGAACCAGAAACGGAGCTCCGAGAACAAACGGAGGATCCTAGATCGGCAAATTTCGAATTTACAACGCCAAAGAAGTCAACAATGCGATCGGAGAAGGAAGCGTATGATGCCAGGCTTGATTCGAGGGTGCGATTGAGGTGGATTGGGTTTCGCTCCAAATCATCGCAGAGTCAGAAACTCGGGTACGATACTCCGTTCTTGAGTTAGGTCATGGTCGGAGCCGAGTTTAGCGTTGACGACGGAGGAGGCTGAGGAGGAAAGAGTCAAGACTCGAGGGAAACTTTGCAGAGTCCATATGCGTCGGGTTTTTGAGTCAAGCCATGGAAGATTCGAGCAGCAAGGGAAACTTGAGAGGGAAAGTAGGGTATATTGGGAATTTTGAAGTTACGGATTGGATTGAGGTGAGAGAGAAAGTGGACCATGTCGGCTGATTCGATGCTTGCTTCCATGTAGGAGATACGGAGTCCGATTCTTAGCAAAAGAAAGAAAACGAGTCGAATTCGGGTTGACATCGGGTCAACCCAAGTCCTCATTAAGTTTAAAATGGGCTTGGACTTGGGCCTAAAGGGGCCATCACTAATTCAATTAATTAGACTTGAGCTCCCAGCCTCATACTGAAAAAAGAACCTTTAGCCCAAAAAATCTTTAGCAATCACGAATCAATACCACCAATAGCAAGAATCTTCAAAGAAATTGTTGTAATAATTGAATCATCTAGTATCTTCTTTTTTAAGTCAAATTGGGGCTTCGTTTTTGTATATGCAATGGATGCATCTTCATATTTTCCAAACAATTTCTTGAATTTCAGTGTGCAGCCTAAGATTACTAATAATTATTTTTGTCTTTCAAGAATAGAGGTTGAAAATTTGGATTTAACAAATTTTAGTTTGGATGCTAAATTATGGAGAAATTTTGATGAGATTCATGGTGATTTGATGGAGATTAATAGAGATCATGATGATGATGATGGATTGGATTAAGACACTCATTGTGCCTACTCTTGGCTCAAAGACTGGATCTAGGGCCAAGAAGCTATAAACAGTTCTTAATTTTTGGGGCTCATATAGACCTTTGGAAGGAAAATAAGTCCAAGATTATTACTTTGCTCCCTTGTGAGGGCACTTTCGCATAATTAAACTTTTATGAGTTTTTCTTTGCTAAATGGGCTTTTTGCATGTAATGGGAAAAACATTTATGGGCTACTGCATGTGGGAGATTGAAAAATGAAAATTTGCGCGTTGAAGAATGAAAACTTAAAGATTTGCAGTTAAACTTGAAAGATTATTGGGTTTATTAGTTATAATATTTTTTATTTTAGTTTTAATATGTTATCTTTTTTATTTTAGTTTTAAAGATGGGTAAAATAGAAAAAACCTCCTGAATTTTATCATTTTGCCTGGATAAGACCCTATAACTTAATTATGCCCCAAATAAGCCCCTAAATTTTAATTGGCACTCAAATAAATTATTAATCTTTAATTTGTATCTAAGTAAACCCTTAACTTTTAATTTTTATCTAAATAAACCCGTAATATAAATAAATCTTTCATTTCAAACAAGATTTATTTGGATACAAATTAAACAATAAAAAATTATTTGAGTATAATAAAAGTATAAGGGTTTTTTTTAAGAAAATTGACATAGTTCATGGGCTTTTTTAGTATTTTAGCTTTTAAAAACCTTATTTTGACAAAATGCGATAAAATATCTTATTAATTAGGAGTATCTTAGGTTTTTCTTTACATCAAGAGTATATCTTAACTTTTAGAGTTATGTCTAGTATATAAGATTATAATAAGATAAGATAAAATGATATTATAAATAGAATTATATTAAATAATATTATTTTATTTTATGTTTTATATATGCAAAGATTACGATAGGATAATTTATTTATTGGTCAAAATTATCTTTCCTCAAAGTTTATACAATTTAAATTATTGATATAATTTGTAAAGATATAATAAGACATGTAATTTCAATTCTATGGATTAAGAATAATCTTCTTTATTTTGAGATGATTGAATCATCTTATATTAAGAGAATGATAATCTTCTTTGTAATTTTATCCCTTTCTTTAGATATAAATCAAATATAATATAAGATAATTAATATTTTATCTTATCTATCATCATATGCACTAAACATGATCCAGGGTCACTATATTAAGTATTATAAATACACCTTAGTAATGTAATAACTGCCCATCTATATTGAGAATAATAATTTGAATTGCCTTTTTGCATATTGTTTTTTCAATTTTGATCAAAACAATACTTTTGTTTTGTGATGAATTAATCCGATTCTTATCACTCCTTTTTGGTTCTTTGTAAAAGTGTGACGAATCAGCCTATTATTTTATTAATTATGGCATGCAAACTTATCCATCAATAAAATTTTAGTTTATCTTCTTTTTCTTTTCTTATTTAATCCAATCTTTAAACAAACCACAACTCAACTTTTATGTTTAGGGTGTATCAAACGTCAAGATTGTCAAAAATTGATGTTAATAAATTATTTTCGAAATATATTTTTGAAGACCATGATAACAATGTTGTTATGGAAGTTGATGCAATAAAAATTTAGGCTGGTGATTCTCTTGTTTGGAGATTTAGTTTAGATGGGTCGGAATATGAAATTCATGACTTATTCGGTGTTAAGAAATTCTAGTCAAAATCTAATGATGGATTTGTTGGTGTTGGTTTCATTGGTGAATGCGTAAACATGGTCAATTCTTTGATAGCAAAGAGCACATGAAGAAATTGGTCGACAACTTGAATACGGATCAATTGCTTATTTGAAGAAGTAGATACAATTTGATTGTAGAAGGGAGATACTGCATGATTTTATTACTGTGACAATAATTGCTAGTGATGATATTTGTTCACAATTGTTGAGGGAGGAGCTTGATTTAATGGAGGCATGTCGAATCGATATTGTTTTTTATGATATCAAAATTTTCTTTTTGTTGTTATCTTACGACTTTGTTTAAGGTTTTTAGGCTTAGTCAATTGTTATTAATTATATAAAACAAATTAATGGAAGTTTAAGTTTGATAATGATTAAGAAAAGACTAATCTAATATATGAAGAGGGCCACATTTCCTTTAAACATGTGACTAAATTTATAAGATCAAGTTTTTATTTCATTTCCTTTAAAAATATAAGGCCACATTTTCTTGCCTCTTGTCAGTGATTTCAATGTGGCATTTTATTATATGAATTTGTAGCATTGCTATTGATATCATACATGACGTGTTCAATCAGCATTTCGTTAAAAAATAATTATTGAGTGATTAAAATAAATATTTATATAAATATTAGTATAAAAATATTAGATTTTATAATTAAGTGACTCAAATAAAAAATCATCTAAAGTTGAGAAATTATTTACGAATTTTATTTACATTTAAATTATTAAAAGTTTTAATGTCATATCAAATAGATCCAACACAATAGATTATAAAAGATTGATTATTGTATTCAATCCTAAGATGCATCTGAACTGAGAACTAAATTGAACTATATATGATATTTGGATATCGAAAATGAAGAAATTCAAATTTAACTCTTTGAGCAAAAAAATTACTAAACTTTTAATATTAAAAATGAAAAGAATCGAAGTTAATTAATTAAAAAAAAATACAACAATCATTATGTCAAATGCCTTGATAACACTAAAATTAAGGCAAAAAGGAAGTAGTGTTTGGCTGCAAATTTTATGGCCTTCATAATGTTATTCGTTCAAAAAGGATCTTGATTCTTGAGCAGGACCCAGCGTTTGAAATGTTGTAGCTTTTTTTATGAAAAGATGATATTATAAATAGTTCATAAAAAAAATAAAAGAAAGAAAAGCGGTTGAAAAATAAAAAAGTAGAATTATAAATTTCAGCAGTACAAAAAGAAAAAGAAGAGAAATGGGGGTAGGAGTATAAGCAAAAAGTTGTCAGGTTTTTGACTTTCATGGAATTGCTAAAACTGAATGATCAAAGTACAGGTTGAACATTCAAGTTAAGCAGCAACTTCACAAGCAGAGGAAACACATGCGTTAATGCAGCATCATGCAGCGCAGAGAAGAGCAGAGCAGAGCAGAGCACCATCCACGTGAGCCCCCACTCACCCCCTGCTCCTGCTGAGAGCCTATGTGGCCTTGCCTCATCCCACAAACAACATAAACCGTTTTGCTTTGCTGTACTTAATTGTACTGTTTCTCATGGTGGCCAACTAAAGATCCATCTCCTTTCTTTTCTTTTCTTTTCTTTTTTTTTTTTTTTCATTTTTACCTTTATTTTTGGTGCAGGTGGTGAGAGAGAGAGAGAGAGAGACTTTGCAGCAAAGGCTAGCAAGTACAACTAAAAAGGTGTTTCTTACTTGGTGACAACTTATAGTTCAGTGAAAAAGAAGTTGGTCACCAGATCATAAGCCATTTTTGGATATTGGGTGTTTATTTCTTTCTTTGTTTTTCTTTCCCTTTCATTGGGTGAAGAAAAGAAAGAACATGGAGAAACCTACGACACCTGTTGACGTGATTTCAAACCTTGCAACTGACTGAAATTGCATATCATTTTTTTTAATTTTTTAACAAAAAAATTCCCAAGAGAAGAAATTAAATTCGAAACTCAAAATTACTAAATATTTATTTTTAAAATTAACTAAATGAATTAATTAAATTAAATTTTAAAATATTTTTATTTTTTTATATTATTAAAATGATATTATCCATCGTTTAATAAATATTTAATTTTTTATGATTTTGTATTAAATTATCTCTTCACTAATTATCGATAATTAAACGTTTAATGTGATATTAAAATCCATATTCTTTTGTTTTTATCTATTTCTCTTGTAATTCCTTTCAAATTTTTGGTATAATAAGCTTTTACTTTCATCTAGACTAGATAGAATTTGATAAAATAATATTATTTCATACATATTAAATATTGAGTTTCATGTGATCTTATGTTCAAGTTAATTAATTTTAAATTAGATTCTTAGAATAATACAATTAAGAGTACTCGTATATTTTATCCAAGCTTAATCTTTTTCCTGTACTAAATTTCAGCAAAAGTTTACACCAAACTGAGGCATGGAGAGTAACAGGAACATGGTTATTTCTAACTAATTATCATGATTGCAGGTCCTTAATTATGATAATTAGAACTTAACCTGAATAACTAATGCAGAAACCAGAAGTACAATCGAGGACAGCCAACAAAAGACTTCACCAAACATAATAAAACATCATAGAGGAGAGAAACACTGAATCATAGATCTGTACTAGACATTAAGCAACAATAAATTTGTACCAAACATAATGAAACAGCAAATCTGGCATAGTAAAAGATTTGAAATCATAGTAACAGACAAATTTTCATTGAATAGCTGTTCAATGATAGGAAATTCCACCATAATGAGAAGGAAAAAGTGGGAATTTTCCATCTTAAACATAAAACATTGATATATATGGGGCACCAAAACTT